ATAAATTAATTTGTATACCCATGGAGTGCCTTCAGTAACTGGAATATTACTGAAAAACTCAATAACTTCATTGTGCTCTAATACGAAGAAGCTCAAAACACGATAGYGGACTATTAGGTTGTGTCTGCTGATATAATAAATCAAAGTGCCTAAAATTCCATCATTTTCTGTTGGCTGAGGACGAYATTTTCTGCCCATTCTTTGTATTCRAAGGAACACATGGAATCCCCATCAAAACCTGATATCAAATATAAACAGGGAAGCTGTTTTTTTTTAAAAACCTCCCTCTTTTGAAACTCTACTGCAAGATGAATCACATTCTCCTTTTTGTTTTTCTCCTTCTGTAACTGTGCTGTTAAGGTTATRAAGAATACTGCCACAGCATGTAAGCAGAAGAACTTAAAGAGGTAAATTTTAAGGAATATTTTTGGGAAGCACAGACTACGTATACCTGCTGATGTAGTTAAAAATTAAGCTGATAGTATTTAGTTAGACTCGTCGCTTTCATGAATGAACTGAAAGAACTTGAAAAATAATTAAGTTTTTTAAAAGCATTACAYATTCAATTTAACATAATTTTTTGCATAGAAGCTATTTTTTATTGTTTTTTATCTATTTTCCCAGCATTTTAGCTAACCACTTACTGTAGCAAGACACAAATATGCAACGTTTCTAGTATCATCAACCTCCCAAAAGTCACCTGAGCTTATGAAACRCAAGTTAAAAAAGCAGTAGTAAACATGGTTCTACCAATGCCCAGTGTCTTAAAAAACAATTGAAATGAGGCTTATTGGAAAGGAATTTACAAGGAAAGAACTCTCATATAATTTTTTTCTAAATCATCAGATTTCTCCAGCTGTACTGCAGCCTTCACCGTAGCAGATCACCAGGAGAAGTAAGCTTCCTCTCTGCTCCTACTTGGTAAATTCCTGATAGTATACCAATAAATAGTTTTAAACACAGATTTTGCTTTAGGCTGCCAAGTTGCCAGCGTACATTCATTAATTGGCTTTATTTAAGGTTTTTTCCAAAGAAATCAAGGATTAAGCAAATAAAGGAAACAATTCAGAGAGTATGTGAAATTGAGAGTTTTCATTAAAATATTGTATGTTGACTGTGTTACKCCAACTGTTTTTCGAAAGAATTACAACAAAAGCAATCTCGTCTTACAACAGACGGCATTTTGTGACTGACACTGGACTTAAACCAGCAAACATCTATACCTTTTTCTCAGCTCGTTAGAGAACAAAAGCCTAAAAATCACCACAGTCCTATACAAAAATGAAATACAATGATTCCTAGACCTGTAGTGTATTATTCCTTTTGATACCCAAAGCACAAATGAAGTGCCTATCCTCTGCATTTCTGAGCCACCACCTTGGTTTACTGACAGGCAGTACGACTTACACATTTGAACCGACGTTTATCATTTGAGAAAGCCTTTAAAGCAGATTTCATTATATTTCATCAAAACTTTACCTAAGGCGCACACAACACATTTCARAAAATTAAACTCAGTCAATATTTGCTCAACTGTTGTCGATAATATGAYGAAAAAACCCTCTTGCTGTAACTGGCCCAACACCAAATGATGTATAACACTCTGATGTTTCAAAAGACAGCTTATTAAAAAATTAACATACCATAGGGAAACTGCATTTTGATTGTATAACCTTAGTGTGATTCAGCTTGAAAATCCTTTCAAATGAGAATTCTCAAAGAGCTTAGTAACGGAAGTTCATTTCGAAGGAAATCCAATATGCAAATATTTCAGCTGTGCTCTTTTACAAATTGTCTGCTTTGTCAGTTTCAAGAACTGAAAACCAACAATGGAACWGTGTAAGAATACTTGACCTTATTGCTTAACGTTTATTAAGAATGCTGTGGCTGGTGGATTTTACATTTCTGAAACTGACACTCAAGGAGGTATAGTGCATCTTCAGCCCTCGTCCCATAAACGCTGACTACGCTCCAGCCAAAGCCTTGGAGCTGACACACTCTCAAACTTACATAACACTTACAAAGCTAGTTTAAATACACCATCAATCTATGTCTGTTCCTGCCTCGTAGTAATCCTGTTTAGTTTATCTTTTAACCCTAGACTTGCATGGAAGAGTACCATTACTAATCTAATAGAAAAAACACACAGGCAACAAATCTGATTTTCTCAGCTTACAGAAAATATGAAATGCAGGAGGAACTCAAATCCAACTTTGCCCAAAATCTGCACCTCCTGAGTCATGTTCATCCCCATCTCCCATAGCAATCAGGAAAGCAGGGACATTGGACACCATACACGACTGGGGAAATAGATGAAGTAGGGTAAATAAAAACTAAATAATACATATTTTGCACACGTCTMCTAAAAAACTGCAATCTCACTTATTAGTCAGAAATGGCAACTTTGYTTTTGACACTATGCACCTGTGTAAAAAATGTCTGGTGAAAGTGAGCATATGCCATGCACTGGTATCTTCTCTATGAGAGCAGTTTATACAGGCCCCTAGTGGCTCAGCACACACAGCAGCAGATGAAGGGGAATTCCTACTATTCAGCTCGTGTAGTTTTGGTCCCTGCGTTCCTCAAAGGAAGAAGCAAAAGGCAATGTTACAAATGAAAGGTGAATTGCTGACTGGACTTGAATTGCCAGATACTTAGTTCTTTAACGCATTCCCCAGTACATTCTTACAGAATGTGAGAATCTCTCCTCAGATTAAGCACTGATTTACTATCACCCATTGAGTTCACTGACTGCTGGTGGTTTGAGTTACATAACCATCACAGCAAAATGCTTATTCACATTATTCTTTAGCGCTCGTTTTAAAAGTAGTATGACTGATGGGTCTAAAAGCAGGACCTAAGACCAGTTCCTGAAACCTAGTAATATCAAAGTACCATTTTCCTTACATTCACCATTCCTAACAGCTTCCCATAGCACACACAAACCATAATGAATTTCTTAGCATCATCTTAGAGTAGAAGACTTCTACTTAGACAAAGCTTTTATTGCTTTAGGTGGATATAAAAAAGCTATACATCATTTCTGCATTGAAAGATATCTAAATATAYCCCACCATATTACCACAAGTGACAAAACTAAAATTGGAAAACTAGTCATGTAAAAAGTCTCTCATTAAATCCATCCTTTCTGTAACACTCAATACCTTGAAAATCCCATGCCAGTAGATTTACAGCTTTTAGCAATTTTGACTGAGCAAAATTTGACAGCTGAATTTATTAAACTGACCAGTTTGTCAATTTCACACATTAAAAAAAGCACTAATAGCTCATCTCATGAGCGGGACTTTAAAGCAATGAAAAAAAAAATCCATGTAAAGTAAGATGCAAGTACATATGATCGTATTTAGGACAGGGGAGATTTTTTTTTTTTCCTTCAGAGTTTCTCCATTCATAACAAGAATTGTAGGAGCTTCGTTGCTCCCAGCTCAGGAGAAAATTATGTCATTTACCATACACTTTTACAGAAAAAAAAGGAAGTATTGACGGTTGCAACATTTTAAACCACTAACAAATACTAGAAGAAGGAAAAATACCGTATATACATTTTTCCATCCCTGTACTGAAATTCCCAATATTGTCCCAACATTACACACAAGTTGCTTGTGCTTGAACAAAAGGTGTGTTGCAAGCAATCTCTGAAAGGCTGAGAAGACAATCATAGCTTCCCACATTAATGCTAAATTTAAGACAATACAAGTGCCATCAAAAACACTCATGTCTGCAAATGAGAAACTCGAAGGTAAATCAGTATCTACGGACCTATCCCCAATGTAACGCCGTCTCAGGCGACATGTGAAGGAACACATAACACCCTACTACTCTGCGTAAATAAACTGACCCTTCTACGTGCGTGAAAACTGGGAAYATGGACATCGAAACCATGGTAAAGAAGCTGCCATCCTTACACGAGGCAGTAACKGTACAAAGGCCAGGCAAAAGAATAAAATACGCATGACAGCAGTTCTGGAGAAGTAACGAGGAGCAGACATTCAAAAGCCATACATGCAAGGCTGAGTGATAATCGCTTAAAATGGAAAGAATACAGTTCTGTCGAGGACGGAGGGCATAATAGAAAACAGGCAAAATAGGGGATTCAGTGCAAAAAAGCAACTGTTTTATCTGCCAGTCTGGGAGAGCCCGGTTGCAGCAGTAAGGAGTGCCTCCTTGCACGGGCAGACGGCGCAGAGGGAGCTGCTAAGTTTGCTGAACAAATTCAGGAACCCCTTTGCAAGCGCTCGGAAAACTGAGTTTCCAGCCCGATGTGCTTCCTTTCAAGTGGTTTCGCGAGAGTAAACAAAGAAATTAAAAGCCTAACCTGTTAAAAGCTTCGCATCTCCGTGCCTCTCTGCTCCGCCGAGAGACAGCAGGAGGAGGAGGAGAAGGAGGAGAAGAMGGAGGAGGAGGAGAAGGAGGAGGACGATGAGGAGGAGGAGGGAGCCCTGCTCGGACCGGCGCCGGGGATCCCTACTGGCCGGTCACCCCCCAAGCCCCATCTCCAGCGGCGGGCGCCTGGTGTTTCACCCCTGCTACCTTCCCCCTTCTCCGAGCCCGTTAGGATAAACAAAACAATTAATATTAATAATTCGCTCRCTAAAGCAAACACACACCGTGTAATTACCGTACTCCCCTCTCCCCGCCCGCGTAGAGCGGCACTCAGTGGAAACGTCGACTCCGATCCATCAATCGCCCTCTCCCTGCCCCATCCCCCGTCCCCGCACCGCAGCTCCCCTCGCTCCCCGAACAGGCCTCGCCGCCAGGCTGAGACCCGGCGGGGAGCGCGGGGAGCGGGCTGGCAGCGGCCGGGAGCGAGCCCCGGGGCACCCACGGGAGAGTTGTGTGCGGGGGACATGAGTGCGGGCTGAGCGCACACACACGCGCACACACACACACTTTTGTGCTCGCACACACAAGCGCGCCTAAAGAGGCGGTAAAGAGGGAGCGGCGGCGGAGGAAAAATGGGTCAGGAGCGGGGCAATTACCTGGTCATGCTGGCTCCCCCGGTCCCAGCAGCAGCCTTCGCCGCTGCTCGCCCGCCTGCCGCTGCTTCCCGCCGCCGCCGCCGCCGCCACCTCCTCCCGCTGCTCCCGGTCGGCTCCGGGGCGGCCAATTTAATCCGAGCCCCGCAGCAGCAGCAGCAGCTGCTAAGAGCGAAGCCCCGCCGCTGCTGCCTGGCGCTCGCGTGTGTCTCTCACAGTCCGGCGCCGGGGAGCGGGAGAGAGTCAGCGAGAGTCCGAAAATCCAGCATCCAGAAGAGCCAGGTCCCCGCCTGCCTCCTCTTGCCAGCGCCGCCTCTCCTCCACGCTGCTCTGCTCCGCTCTGCTCTTCTTCTCTTCTTCTCCTTCCTGCGGCGGCTGCTGCTGCTGCTGCTGCTCCCGGGCGCGCTCTCTGTTCCCGAGCTGCTGCTCCGTTTCCCCTCCTCCTCCTCCTCCTCCTCCTCCTCCCTCACTCTCGCTCTCTCTCTCCCTCTCTCCCTCTCTCCCCTTCTTCCTTCCCCCTTCACTCTTTTTTTCCCTCTTCCTCCTTTTCTTTCTTCGTCTTTTTTAGCCGATTCTTTCGCTACAAATGAAAGCTTAGTCTCCCACCCACTCTCCCGCCCCCCCTTCCACAAAAAGTGCAGTGCAAACAAAAGCGAGGGAAGAGGGCACAGGGCGGGCGGAGTGGGGAGGGCAGACACGGGAAAAAATCCCAGAAACCGTCCCCGAGAGCCGAAACACGAACAACCCTCCCCCCACTCCGCTTCACTCCTTTGGGGGAGACGGGGTACCCCGCGGGGACACCAGTAGAGACGACGCTCTCCCGTTTCTCGGGTTTGTTGCGGGGTTTGGTTTGGATGGCCGTCCGTTTGCGCTTTTTTGTGTGTGTTCTTTCGGGTTTTTGTTTGTTTTTTGTTATTTTTTTTTGTCGGGTTGTGGGTTTTTTGGTGTTTTTTTTTGCGATGGTTCTGTTTTAATCCTCTTAGGCGGCGCGGATGGCACACAGCACCCTCACGGCCCCCAGTGTCGGTCAGAGCGCTGTGCCGCCCGTGGCTCTGCGTGCCCGCCAGCGCGGGGGGGGAGGGG